CCCCCCCCCCCCCGCAGCACTGGCCTGCCGGGACAGGGCCCAGTCTGCTTCGCATTAGGGCTGCTGGCAGCGGCCAGGGAAGGGGGTGCAGGGAGGGGGGAGCAGGCCTTAAAGTTCCAGCTGATTCCTAGAAGCCACGTCTCCGCCTGGCTCTTAAAGGGGCGGTAAAGCCACGTTCCCCTCCCTCGCTGGAGGAGAAAAACGTCCATGTGGCCGAGTTACCTCCCCCTCTGCCACGAACCCTGCACCTGGGAGAGATCCCGGCAGCGCTGGGGGCAGCGAGCACCAGCCTGGGCAATGGTGAACCGATGCTGGTGAGGGGGGAGCAGGGAGCCTGGCACCAGTGTGGTCAGAAGCTGGGAGTGGGAACCACAGTGCTAGTGCTCTCCCCGGTGATCCCAGTGAGCGGGGCTTTCACGTCCTCGCACTAGCACTCTAGCACGAGGATCCCGGTGAGCGGGGCCGTGCGTGTCCCGGCACTAGCACACTGTTGCAAGTGTCCTGGTGAACTGGATGCGCATGTCCTGGCACTAGTGCCCTGTTCACAAGGAACCTGGTGAGATGAGTATGCAAATCTCGGCACTAGTGCCCTGGCACAAGGATCCTGGTGAGCTCAATGTGAAAAGCCTGGCACTAGTGCCCTAGCACAAGGATCCTGGTGCACTCAGAGGCTGGGAGCACGAAGAAATGGAAGAGCCCAAAGGAGTTGGCATGTGGGGGAAGGGAGCGCACGCTCTGCTTCAGTTAGGTGGGATTCAAGCCCCGGCCAGACCCAGGTGTCCTAGCCCACGGTGCCTGGGCTGTCACTTTAAGGACGAGGCTGCATCACCCTCCCGGGGGCTCAGGGCTGCTTTTGGGGGCTGAGAACGATGTTTCCATGCTCGGTTCCCAGGTTCCCTCCCTTCCCGTCTCACTTGGCAAACGAGTTTTCTCAGGATCCTTTTTCCGATGGGCCAGGCTGCCCGCCAAGAGCCAGGGCGCTGCCCATGGAGCCCTTGGCACAGGGGGCCTGGCTCCTCCCCCTGTAGGGGGCGCCACCACCCTACGGGGGCAGGGAGACGGCGAGGGCGCCAGGGCTGCGGATGCCCAGCAGGGGGCAGTGCTGGCCTGGGGCAGGAGCCCTCCAGGGCTGGGAGTGGGGGATGCTCTCAGAGAGGAACCCAGTCACGTCCGGCAGGAAGGAGCCGCCCGGGTTTATGTCAAAGATCTGAGACTTGCAGGGACGGCTGGCCTGGGCCGGGCCCCCCCCCCCC